GGTCAGCGGCCCCCCCTACCAATTGGGAAATTGGGTATGTCGTTCTCGGCCGGTCCCACCCTTGCGTGCCTCAACCAAGTTCCATCACCTGTGGGAAGCTCCCTATGTTGCAGTGGATGTCCGTAATTGAGAAAGACGACTGACACTGTTAACGAGCCTCCCTGAGATGACTCTTTAGTTGGCGACCAAGTGCTCACCACTGAACTTCATGAGTCCCCATCTACTGAGAGTAAAAAGGAAAGTGACGGCCAGCCTACTATAGCTATATAATGTTTCCGGTACATACACGAGTCTCTTGCGCGTTTTATACATTATCCACATTCTTTACTACTTTTTGCCTGCCGACTAGCTGATTTTGAATTTATGAAAATTTGCTTTTATTTGTCACATATTTTCGTTTCTTTACTTTCGTATAGGTTTTTTTGTTTTCTTTGTGGCTGGTATGTTTGCTGACCGAAAGATCCCAACACCGACTTTTGAGGATTTATGATTATAGCCACATCAAATTACTTTTATTTAATACAAGTCCAAAGTCATATGAAGAGAAGGCTTGTAATACAACAGTGTTAGCCAAGAACTCTTGAAACTCGAAAATTAGTGGACTTTCCAACTGTTGTACGGAAACATTGTTTTAAAGAGCCAAACTACTGCCACCTTTTACGAATTCCATTGGTGTGCATTCTTGACATTTGCTTTTCCTTTTACCTACTTCGGATTTCACTGTGTATACCAGTTTAGGATTTTTACTTAAATACATTTTTAGTTAACTAAATTCAACGTTGGTATTTTTTTGGTTCGGTCTGCACTCGCTTGAACTACGGCCTTTTTTGCTAAGTGATTGTTGGCCTGTCACCTCTAGTTGACTGTCAGTCCATATGGAATGAAGCACTACAATATCGGTACTATAGGGGATGCAGTAAGCTGAATTTTGCCAATAGTGGCATATGCTTTTGTGGATGATAAGAACTATCCATTTATCTATGTAGACCTAGTAGCAAAACATATCGACTATATATCTAGTGCATATCTATAAGATAGGCCTACAAATCTAGTAGAGATCATTTTTTCCGCAAGAAGAATGACTATCACATATCGATTAATTGAGATAGTAGGTAATTGGTGGGAATGGCGGCTTACGCTCTGCACTGGAATCCTTTCCTTAACAGACCACCCATTTATTACGCTTTACCCCTTCATCTTGAAGTGAAATATACTATGTAGGAGGTCAATATGGAAAACGTTATTGACAAACTGGAACAAGATATATCCACAACCGTTTGTCGATGTCCATCACTTTTCATTGTGTTGATGGCATTTGGTTACCGACAGTCCGTCATTGCATATGTCTATTGTCAAACCAACATTTTCTCTGAAAGATTACATTTAGCTTCCCGTCTGAAAATTAATTCGTATGTAAGACGCCATTCAGTGTTGTTGGGTTTTCATTTGTTTCGTGCGTACCCGCATTATACACGTGCAAGTGGGTTTTGCTGACCCTTCTAGTGTGCTTGGTTACTTGGCCTTGTAGCTTATCATACATTTGATGAATTTAGGAGCTTGTAAAGCACACTATTGTGTATTTAATGTGAAAGTTTTGGACATTGAGCTCTTTTGACTTCATCCAGTTATTTAGATCGTTTCTCTTTGAGCATTTTCTTTTTTAAGCCAGGGTCTCAATGCTTTGTAAACTATGTTAATCTAGTTCTTTTCTGAGAAACCACGCAGTTGTTCAATATCCCACCGCTACCTGCTGACTACGATTTAGTTTAGCTACCATTGCAGTCTGATTCAGTCAATCTCTTAGGTAGAAGCCTTCGGTAAAATAGTACTCTCGGTTTTAGGATCTCTCATTTTCTGGAAATACCTTAGAGAAAATACACGTTCTTTTGTGAAAGGGGAGATTAGCCTACAAACCCTGACAGCAACTGCAGAATTAAAGTGCTGGTCTTTACTGAGGGTGAATTCTTGAGATCGTGATTAGCTATTTAACGTTTGCGTTTAGACTGTAAATGGTCGTAATGTTCTCAATTACAAGAAGAAAGATAGCGAAAGTTACAACGCTATTGTGTGTCCCTTCGCATAGGGTAAATTCTGCTTACGTTCCATAATCAATGCAGTCCTACAACCGTAATACTCAGACCGTCATTTGAAGAAAGAGATTGGAATGAATAACTCCCAATTCATTGGGGTGCGCTTCTAACTTCGGGGGAGAGGTATTGTAATCTAGCGTTTTAGAAAATAGGACTTGAGTGTCAGTCAAATTGACGAATAACCTATCACTCGCTGCTTAAAAACCACACTTTTTTTATAAGCGTGCCGTTGAAAATCGTCTGGAAAGGCTGTGGGGTTATGCTTAAAAGTAACGAACCTCACCTACTTTATTTAAGTTTGTCTCTTCAATTTTCTCAATGGTTATTGTAAACTGTATAATAAACCAGGAGGTGTTAATGAGCAGCCTCATGCGCTACTCAGTCTATTTTGATCATTCATGTTCTTAACTTTTGTTCTGGTACATTTCTAATAATCCCTTTGACCCATTCACGAAGAACTCAGTGCATTCGGTGGGATTTGAACTCACGACAGCAACGGTAAGGCTTGAGTACACCCAGCGTTCTAGCCACCTGAGCTATGAGTACCCATCAGAAGTCGTGGGTTTCATCACATTTGGGTCAGGTTCTCCACTCAGCCTGCTGAAACGTATGGAATCCACCAATTTTAATACAGTAACCTGACTACTCATGCAGGATTTCCTCGGTAGTTAATCTAGAGTCCGACAGCTGACTGCCAGGCTCACTGAATCAATTGGCAGATTTGAATAATTCATTTGACCCACTTGAGAAAACCTCGGCGGCCTTAGTGGTTAAGGCGTTGACTGTACACGAGTCTTGTCCCTGTTGTCATTGTTTCAAATCCCATCGAGGCTGCGGATTTGTGTTTACAAAAGTAACTAATATTTTTATCTGTGATACTTAACACTGCGTTCAAGTGCCTGGAAAACCCCGCAACTGCACCCTGATTCACCATGCTTATAACTGAAATCTAAACTAGAACGTTTTCATGTGTTCCCCGATGCAAATTCTTTTTTTTCATTTTAACAGAACTTCCTTCTGTCAAAAAGGGGGCGAAAATATGTGGCACGAAGCCCGAAAGCAAGAGAAACATATTCGGTCAATCCTGATTGATTACCGGAAGAGGGCTGAACGTCGTCAGGATTTCTATGCCAGAATCGTTTGTTTGATTATCTTTTTGAGAATTTTACTCAAACCCTTTTTAGAGACAAGATCCCATAAAGTTTTTGAGGGTCTATGGCACGCGAGCCAAGATAAATCTTGATGCTGATATTGTGAAGGCTGCAGAAAATCCGAAGACGATGTAAGTTTATTTTTGCTGGAGAATTTAACTGGGGTCAATCCGCTAA